TGTGAGCTTTAGTAGTATATATATGTTGCACCATTTACGCCTAAAATATATATAAATTACACGTGAAAGAGGGATTGAACTCGGGTTTATTGTGCTAAAAACATGTAGAATTAACCACCAAGATACATATCTTATTTGGTAGTGTAGACGAAACTTAATAATATAACATATCATGGCATGTCAAAAATAATTGGGTATTTTTAACTCTGATTATATGATATGAAACTAGAGACAAACACAAGCATATTCATATATTCAAATCACAAATCCATGAAAGAATTGAATATGAAATCTCAGTTTAAAGTATAAAAAGTTAAAAACAAGACAAATAAAAGCTCGATTGTCGATGAAAACCAGACCGGGCCGCTTTGCGACCCGGCCACGACGTAGCCCTCGAAAAATTAAGAACACAGAAAAAAGAATCGCTCGATTCCGACAACTCTACTAAAAGTTATCGCGTTTTAAAGTTTTGCAAAACCCTATTTCACATCAATTTCACGACGTAGGCAAAGTAGAGGCAAGGAGAGATTAGAACGCTGGATTAAATTAGGAAATATTCTTATTAACCCTTATAATTTCTAATTATTTACGATTTATGCCATCCCTTCTAACATAAACAATAGAATACGCCTCTTCTTCTTCGTGGAAGCTCTTCCTCTTCCATAATCTATGATTCTCACGATCTCGGACACACCATAGATGTATGCGTATGTAACTCTTCTCCTTTGTTCGTTTTTGTGTACCTTCAGAAGATTAGGGCTTCACAGATTTTTTGGGACAAGTACCGAGAAAAATTGCAGAGAAACTGGGCTGCGGCTTGTGAGAACGATTTCCCTCGTTTTTGCATCTCTTCTCCTCTTCTTAGGTAAACGCTATTTTGCTTCTTCTCTTAGTTTAAAAATGGTTTTTTTTTCCTACGGTTTCAGAACCTGCAACTTTTGGATGCAATTCTCCTCTCCTTATGTAAACGTTTATTGCATCAAAAGCTTCGTTTCTATGTAATTCTGGGTAACTGTAATTGCGGAGAACAAACCTCTAAGTGAACAAATCACGGCTTAAATTTCTTGGTTATTAATTGCCTAGACAAATTCGCTGAGTTTAATTACTTGATTTCTATGTATTTTAGACTGTCATAGACTTAATTAAGCACTCAATTAAGTGTTGAAACTTAATTGATCTCTTCGTTTTAAATTATGCAGCTATGCTGGACACGTTTTCTACTCCAAAATGATGTAACGCTTCTGCTCCTTTTAACTTAATCGGAACCTGCAAACAAAGACATGCCACTTTATATATTCTAGGTAAACGCTTATTACTTCTTCTCTTATTTTTGATGTCAATTAGTCCTATCTATTAGTATTTTCGAAATTAGAGGGTATTAATTGTATAAACAGTATGTGGCTCTGGAATGTAGCTACCTAACCTCTTTAGATATAATTTCCAGACATTTGAGTGTATTTATGTTGTCTCAATTTCTGGTTATTTTGGGCAAAGTTTCTAACTCCTCTCTAAAGCGTTATTTTCTTTGGTTTCATGTGTGTTTATACTTGAACGATGATGATATATGCAGTCAATAAGGCTATCAAATACTTAAGTGGAGAGGAGTGTATTCTTTTTTTGTGTTGGTTCATATCCTTAGAACCCGAAGTGGGGAGTTTACTCTTTGGAAGGGGCAATCTTTTAATTTTAAAATGATTCTTCAGGTTCGTTTCTTAGATTCTGTTTACTAATCTTTGGGAAATTTTGTTTTGATTCCTCTATAGCTGTTGCTCCTGGTATTGACTGTTAAAATCTGCTGTCAAAATCAGGCACGTGATCAACCTATAAGGTCGATGGTATGGAGCCACAATGACAATTATATGGTTTCTGTTCAAGTAATTTTTTCCTTTCACTCTCTAACTTGTGATGATGTGAATGAAAAGCTCAGAATTTTATGATTCAGATTTAGTTTTTCTGTGACGGTAAGGATCAATTGTTTCTAATGTATCAGGTATTGGCAGAACAATATGAACAACATTAAATGAATCTCTTTAAATTCACGATTTAAAGCTGCTCACAAGGAATCAATTCACGATTTAAGGTAAAACAAAGGTTTAATATGTTATTATATTAAATGAATCTCTTTAAATTTTAACAGTATGCCAATAAAACAGATTTGAAGCTCTTGTTCTGATGATATGACTGTTAAAGTCTGGGATTTTGCTAAGTGCCAGGAAGTATGCTCATTAACCGGTAATGTGATTTGCACAGATTATCGGCAGATAGTGAATTTCTTAGTTGCTTTCTCTTCTATTTGAATTCAGAAGGCCATTTAGAATGTGTTGTATGTTATTATAATTGGACCCTTCACAGAAACAAACTGTTATTGAGATTCGGTTTGGTGTAATGCTGACTCTATGGAGGTAATAGCTATACATGTCAGGAATATAACTAAAGAGAGGCGTTGACGAGATGGTCAGAACCCATGATCATATTAAGGTACGTAGCTCTCTCTCTTGTGCAAACATAAATTGGAATTTAAAATTTAAATTTTGGTAGACCATGGATTTAAACTATCTTTTTTGTTTGTTATGCATTGTTACCACACAAATAAGTTAGATGAAACATGAAGAAGCAATCGGAAATAGACGAAGAATGCATTCGCAGGGAAGAACTTTTTTTATCAATGAAACAAAGAGGTATTCTAATTCCAAAAGTTTCTATGGTTTGTTTTATGTACGTTTATAATACTTTAATTTTTAATCTACAGATTTCTTAAAATATGCTGCATTTCATACTATGTATGAATACTAAAATTAGTTGACAAAAAAAAAAGTTAATACTAAAGTTAACAAATTCAATTTGTTTATTTATGGTTCGTAAAAATAATATAACACTTTACTGGACATCAATACGGGTTAAACAATTATATCTTTATACTCGATTAACATATACTACATACTAACACCATTACAATTTTACAACAGAACTAGATCTGGACCTGCACGCATATGCGTGGTTTTATATTTTAAGAAATATGTTGTAATAAATATTTAGTAAATATAAATTATTTTGTTGCATAATTCCGTTTGTTTAATCATAAAACCGTTGAAAATGATTAAACAAATACAAATATTTAGAAGTGGGCATAATTCCGTTTGGTTTCGCCATGTTCCATTATATCCTATACCCGTTCCCAATTCATGTCGCATAAGAGAACGCATTTCTAATATGAGACAAATTTATTAAATATAGATATTTTAAATTTATTTGATAAACTTGGTCCATAATTTTTAAAAACGAATCTTAACAAAATCTTAAAATGAAGAGAGGGTTTAATGTGAATAAATTTTAGATAATCATTTTGAATTAATTGTAATTAATTTGTAAATCTTTTAACAGCTTCTAATTTAAATTAGTCATTTTGGATGTATGTATAAGTGCATAATATTTATATACACAAAATTATAGGAAATAGATTTGTAAACAAATTTAGGTTTTAATTTGTTGATTCAAATTTTACCAAAAAACTAATCTTCATATTTTAAATTTATGATGACCAAAATATTATAAATAAACTCTACGATTTTGGTATTTTTCCATTAGACTTATCCCTATGAAATTTTGTAAATATGGTAATTATGATTGTTCAAATACAATTAATGAGCTGTTAAAAAATCTTATTAATTTTTGTTTCCAAAAAGGAAGTTATTCAAATTTAAAAGAAAAATAAGAATATTGGTGTGAATAATCTTTTCTCATATTGAAATATTTGCATTGAAAATTTAAAACATTGGTATTTAAATTATATTTTAATGTTTTGATGAAAAAAGAGAAAATACAATTTAGAAGAATGTATATTCCAAAAGTGTGTAACAATTTGATATGAAATAAAATCATTTATTCATGTGTTGGTTCAGATCCTTAGAATGGGCAATCTTTTAATTTTGAAATGATTCTTCAGGTTCGTTTCTTAGATTGTGTTTACTAATTCTTTGGGAAATTTTGTTTTGATTCCTCTATAGTTGTTGCTCCGGGTATTGACTGTTAAAATCTGCTGTCAAAATCAGGCACGTGATCAACCTATAAGGTCGATGGTATGGAGCCACAATGACAATTATATGGTTTCTGTTCAAGTAGTTTTTTCCTTTCACTCTCTAACTTGTGATGATGTGAATGAAAAGCTCAGAATTTTATGATTCAGATTTAGTTTTTCTGTGACGGTAAGGATCAATTGTTTCTAATATATCAGGTATTGGCAGAACAATATGAACAACATGAAAGCCAATAAAACTGCTCACAAGGAATCAATTCACGATTTAAGGTAAAACAAAGGTTTAATATGTTATTATATTAAATGAATCTCTTTAAATTTTAACAGTATGTATCGAATAGTTTTTGTAAAACAGATTTGAAGCTCGTCTTCTGATGATACGACTGTTAAAGTCTGGGATTTTGCTAAGTGCCAGGAAGAATGCTCATTAACCGGTAATGTGATTTGCACAGATTATCGGCAGATAGTGAATTTCTTAGTTGCCTTCTCTTCTATTTGAATTCAGAAGGCCATTTGGAATGTACTGTATGTTATTATAAATGGTAAAATAAACCTTATTATTAATAAACTCAATTTAAATTCAAACAAATTGTTATATTAAAACATAATAAATAGAAACAAGTTGATTTAGGATTTTTCTACTAAAATTCTAATTTACAATATTTTTCTAATCTGGAATTTTTTAAGTCATTATGTTAAAAAGTTAATTGTATTCGGTTGTGTTACAAAAATTCATTAATGTGAAACCAAACAGATTTTGTTACGAATAATATATAAATTCTTATACTGAACCGAATATGAGTTTATGTTAGTAAAAGTTTACTCGGTCCGATCACACAAATTTGCTAACGTGAAACCTAACTAAATTTTATAATACTATGCAAAGTACATGAATTTTCACATCAAAATATTTTCATCGGAAAAACTAAATAAGATTTACTAACAGTTAATATGGCTATATACATATTACGATATATTAAAAATAGTATAAAATTACATATAGTGAAAAACTCAAAATAAAATAAAATAAATGTGATATCCTATAAATTTTTGTAGTTTATATAACACAAGATAAAGCCCACGTAAATACGCGGGTTAGAAAATAAATATAAATTTATATCAATAATATTTGAAATCTAAAGAATAATTTATACTTTTTTATCTTATATGATCATTTTTAAAAAGCAGATTTGAACCTCACATATTCTATTTTCCAATACAATTTAACTATCTATATCATCATAATGAACCATGCATATTTTAATCTTTACACACTTAATGAATTATACCTAAATTTTTTATATCAAACACAATATAAACATAATATCAAATCTTTATCTTAGTTAGAATTTACAAATTTTAAAAAACATAATTAGTAAAAAAGTAAAATATAATCCACAAAGTAATTTGGAAATCCAACATGGTCTTAATCAAGAATAAATAATACATGACAATCATATGACTTAATAAGATTTTTTTTAATCATATTTAACTTTTTTTTTTCTTTTCTGAATTGACATCTAAGATAATTAGTTTCCTTTTTTCTTTCTTTTATGTTTTTTTTTTTCTTATTTTTGAGATGGGTAGTTCATTAACACAGGAAACCTTGACAAATTTAATTTTTGTATTTTTATTTGAATATGATTTAGTGAGTAATATATGTTTTTCTGTTTTTTTTAATCGGCAATTAAAAATAAATTGTGTTTTTTTTTTTCTTTATCGTTTTAAGATTAGCAATTGATTGCATAATTTATCTAATTTAATTTGAGAATGAAATAAATATTTCTTTACTTTTTCTTTAAATTTAAGTATATATTTTAGATTTTGAATTTTCCATATTTATGTAACCTTAGACTCTCTTTGCTTCGAACAAATAAACTAGGCAGCCTAACTCTCTAAAAAATTCGGCCCTTTATAATAAAAGAACTCGAAAATAGTGAAAAACTCGAGAAAATACAAGAGAATACTGAATTGCTCTGATATTGATAAAAATGCTGGATGATTACAAATAAGGGATCTCTGTAACACCCATCCTCCTACGTTTGTGGGCAGTCCTGAAGGGTAAGGACGAGAGGGAATCCGAATGTGTGTGGAAACGGACGACGATTTCTCGAATCCGGACGGTTCCGTATGTGATCCAGACTGTTTCGTACGTGATCGGATTGATCCGTACGATCGGATCGAGAAAACTGTTATGTCTGACTTTTTTTCTCAAGGAAATAACTTCATGGAGTTTTCTCCAATGTTGCCGGAGCTCGAGGAAGAAACGCTACAGGCTCTGAATGCTCTGCTTCAGGTGCCAGACCGGAATAAGTTTACCACGGTCCTCTCTCCAATACCGAGATAAACCACCACTTGGTCTGAATTCTTTCTCTATTGATAAATGTATCATTTGTAGAATAGGTTGATGTCTAAACATATCACTTCTTTCTCTATTATCTTAGTTTGATGTTTTAATATATGGCTTTGCTTGTGACATGATCAGTACCTAATCAGTACACTCTAACATTGAAAGTATGTAATAAATTGTTTCCGGTACACTCTAACAAGCCACTGGACAACTCATTGAGATCAACATGGAGCAGCCCACAGAAAATCTCTCACACTCCCAAATCCAACTCTATGTTTTATTCTGATTATCAACCGACTAATGCACTCTTTAAATTTTCAGGGAAAAGAGATTACATAGAGTGGGAGAAAAACATGGAAGAGTGGTTTCACGACCACCACATTTTGAGAGAGAAGAGATTAGCTTATGCTATTAGCCAACTCACTGGAGACGCTTACAAATGGTGGGTACAAGAAGTTGATAATCGCTGGTATAACAAGGAGCCAACTATCACCTCGTGGAGAGATCTTAAGGAACTACTAAGGAATAAGTATGCTCCTAAAGCATCAAACCGATCTCGAAAAGCCAATGTCACAGCCCAAGGGTTAGCAGTTCAAGAAAAGAAAAAAGCCTTAGTCCCATATTCGAAGAAAAATCCCATAGCAAAAGAACAATTTGAGGATGAAGTTCTGAAGATTCTCAACGCTTACAACAAACCTAAGAAAGCTAAGTGTGTTCTTACTTCTAATTCAGAAAAAGTTAAGTTTGCTCTTCCTTCTAAATTTGAGAAAGATACGTGTGATCTTTTTGAGAAACCTGATTTTGTGCTTAAAAATGATCAACCTTGTGACAAACTAATCCTTTCCAAGCCGTTGCAAGCGAGTAGTACTTTTTGTTTTTCACAGGTTCTTGAAGAAAAATCTCATGAAGAAGAATCACCTAATGAAACGCAAAGGTGTTTGCCTTTGATTAGTCACTTCGAGCAGCCACCCCAGTTTGTGCCAAAATCAGTTCTTATGCCATTTCCTTGCGATTACCCAAGAAAGCACTGTAAGGAAATTGATTTGGTTAAAACTAAACCTAATTTGTTTATGTTGGTTTCTGCTCAAGATGAAAAATGTTTTGTTTTTGAAAATGTGAAGGAGTTTTGTGTTTCAAAATCTGTTTTTGATAAAATGATTCCAAATTTTGAAGCATTTACACTTGAAGAGTTCTTTAAGCAAAAAGGTTTGCTGTTTGATGACTTTCATGAATTTAACTCTTCTTTGAGAATTTCTTTGTGTAGCAATGCATTTGAGCTGTTTAAAAGTAAAGATGAATATGCAATGGTTAAAGCACTCTATGAATTGAAACATGTGCTTAAAAACGTGTCATGTGATTCAAATCCGTTCATTGAGCTTTGCAACCCAATTGTTAATGATCATATTCTTGAATTCTCTATTTCAAGTATAATGCATTTATTCTGTCCCATGAGTGCTCAAAAAGGAACAGGAGCTATGGAGAAGTATAAGTACTTAGGAGAAGTGACGTCAAGGAAAGACTCATTCAAGGTTCAACTACAAAACCATGATAACTTGAAAGGAGCTGAAGGTGCATTGAACATATTGACAATCAAGGAAAAGCCACCAGATTTGTATCTGCCTCAATTCCTCCGCAAAGAACGCAAGCAAGGAACCATGAGCAGGATTGGAGAATTAACTCAAGCTGAAGAAGTTCGGGTCCACAATCAATTACCTAGAGCTGAATACAGTAGTGTTATCAAGGAGAAACCACCAGATGCTAAACCACCAATTAAAACCCGAGGTAATTATCTAAACTCCCAAAAACGAATGAAAGCTAATTTGCTTTCTCTTGGTGAAGGTTGTACAATTTGGAGACCAATCAAGAAGACTACTGATCGGGAGATAAGCACTCATCATATGAGTCAATCAAGAGATCGTCGTGAAGATTATCAGAATCAACATCGGCTAAAGCACAAAGAAGAACGCATAGGCAAGCAATCAAATTTGTTTGTGAGGGCTAGTAAGGATTATGAGGATATGCTCTCGGAAGATAAACCTATAGGACTACCACCCATACATGATGCATCTCAAAGCCACGTTTGGAGACCAGGAGATTATCTAGGACGTTCAAGTCCTACACCACATGAGATTTTGGTCTTTTTACTTCACATGTTTCCCGAGGAGCCTAAAATGGATCTTTCTTCATTTGGTTCTTTCCATACCTATCAATGGCGACCAGGAGAGTTTTTAGATACCTTTAGAGAGAACAATTTGGTCACCAACAATGCCTTGATACAAGAAGAACCCCCGGATCCAACACCACTTCCATTAATCTTGATGATATCAAGCACCGAACACACCATAACCCTTATTCAGGCAAGTAGCTCTTTAACTCGATTTGTTTCTCATGTTTCAAGAACTGTTACGAGGAGTTTATCACATTTAGGAAACATTGAGAAAGAGTTAGAATTATTTAAAGAAAATTTGGAACCAAATTCTTGTCTTAGAACACAAGTAAAACATGAACATTTCAAGGATAATGCATTGATCAAAGTTGAGCCATGTTTACTTGTTTATAGTGATTCCATGACTATGATAACGCACTTGTTCTTTGCCAAAGCTGTTGAAGATATTGCAGGTATAAAAGAAGAGCCACCAGACTTAGAAATTCTCTCGTCCAATCTCTTTGAGAGGACTGGAATTGGAGTTGATTTGATGCCAAAGATCGATTATCCATTCAATCGAACAAGAAGAAAAAGCGACAATGCTTATGAACTTGAGCTTCAAGGTAAGTATAATATGAGTTCTAGTTTCAATGATTCTTACTTGGTTCTTTTCATTGTAGGTGAATTGGATTTGAGGTCAAATCCTTTTCAAGTGGGAGAGGATGATGTGTTCATGGAAAGCACAAAGGACTTGGAACTTGATAAAGAGCTTGTACCGGAGGAAGCACCACACGAATCCGAGGAGCAGCTTGTACCGGAGGAAGTACTAATCTTCCCGGCGGGTCCTATAACTCGATCAAGATCCAAAAGATTCAATCAAGCAATCAACGGACTACTTAGGGAGCTAGAAAAGAAGCAAGAAGACGTGGCCCAACTCTCCCTTGTGATGATCACGGCCCAAGGTGTTCGGTAAAGGGATAAGTGTTGCTTACGCACTCTTTTTCCCTTGTCAAGTTTTGTCCCAATGGGTTTTCTTGACAAGGTTTTTAATGAGGCCTAAGTAACACTTTCAAGCCTGCCTTTATCAGCCCAATTCGTGATCCAAGGCCCATCACTTTGCCTTGGCCCATTATCTTATTTTTATGTTCAAACTTTGCATTTAATGCCTTTGTAATTTTCTAGATACTTTGCATGAGCTTGCATGAGTGTGGACTTGTGCATGCTCGTGCATGTTCTCTTTCTCCTCTCTTCTCCTTCATTCTTCTCTTCTTTATATTCTCTTTGTAGCTCTCATTTGCAAACCATCAAACATTTTATCAAAAATCTCTCTTCTACTTGCTTGATCCGAGAAGTGCGTAATATCTTCTCAACTTGTTTCCTTCTTAGTGTGTATTATCTAAGTTGTATTCAAGCTCGTAGTCTAAGAGATTTTCACCTCTCTTGGAAGTACAAAACGTTCCACCTTCAATCCGCTACAACCATTCATTCGTTTGTCCATTCATCTTCCACCTTCGATCTCGCTCTTCTTCCATTCCGCTGCATCCTTCATGATCAAAACCAACAAAGTGTGTTCTTGGGAGTAGATCCTCATCTAGGAGTCTATCACCATCCATGCAAATTCAACGCTCATTTGCATAGCTTTTGGGATGAATTCACGAGTTCCACTCTAATTCGTCCTAGTTACACGCAGTTAGACATCAAAGTTGTGACGACTAATTTCCACGCAAAGTAGCGACGAAATAGCATCGAATGTTAGTTCGACGCTATTTCCACGCTCATTATGCGCTATATAGCGACACATATTATTCCTCCCGCTATTTCCACGCTCATTATGCGCTATATAGCGACACATATTATTCCTCCCAATATTTCCACACAAATCACATGTTTTCTTGTAGTGTTTCTTTTTATTCTTCCGAACTAAACCGGCTATAAGTCCGCTTCTTAAACCACTCCTCGAGGAAGTCCGAAGAAAGGCATCGCAAGGAGGCGAAGCTCGAGGAGGGTCTTCCCGAGATGGTGGAGCTCGAGGGGAACCATGGCAAGGAGTTGGCCTCGTAGCAAACATTTAACAGGAACTATCGAGGCTACCGTCGTCAACCAGCAGGGTCTTGCAGTAATCCTTTTCATCTACGAGACTTTCCAAGTTGTGCATCTTTTCCCTATAGAGGGTAGATATCGGGTCAGATATCACTTTGTCTCTTACTTTCCTCGCCCGAGAAGAGAGGCCTTTGACTAATGCAGGAGGAGGTAGGGAATGAAGCTTCCCAAGGGGCCTCATTCTGGCAAGGCGACTGGCTTCTTGGATACGGTCGTTGGTGAACGAGTTCCAGAAGGTCTCACCTTCGATGACAATATTGAAAAATTCAGCAAATTCCTTAGTCATAGGGAGATGAGCCTGAATTGCTGCAAAAAAAGGGAAAGAGTTTCTAAGTTAAGGATCGAACTCAAGGTAAGAACAAGCAACTGCGATAAACCTTAATCTACCAATTTTCAATGACCACTGGGTCGGAAGAGTGTTCGATGAACCGTTGATTGTGGTTGGGGTCATCTTCACTAGAAACCAGTGAGGAAGCCAGTTGTCATCTTGGTTTGGTAGGTAAGAAATCAGCATTCTCTCCCGGTTGGGATAACCAGCGAAAGTACTCAAAGTCTTCGGTGAAACTCGATCCAGGATGAGCTCCAAAGGTTTTGGTACACCAATAATGTAGCATGCCTCCATTGCCACGGTGAGGATCCCCATAATTATTCGGAGTAAATTGGGGGAGAGCTGAGGAAGGGCAATTTTTAGAGTTTTGAGGTGCCAAACCATGACCTCCAGGAGCGGGAAGACATGCCACATTCTATGAGATAAATCTTGTAGACATAGAAATATCCGGCTTGATGGATCTCTAGAGACTCAGGTTGAAGAGGAAAGGCAAAGTCTCGTGAACTTCATCCAGTACCAGGCATAACCTCCCCATGTTTGTGAGAGATTGGATGGTGGTACTCGTATTGTAATGAAGATCGGCGATGTTTTTCAACCGAGTACATAGTAAATCTTGAGGCGATGCAGGATTCTCCTCGTCAGCAGGAGTGCTAGACCTTTCCACTGGAGATTTTAGTCTGGGAGAGTGGATTCTAACAGGCGAAGAGCTCATTTTCTTTTTGGTTAAAGAAATCAAAGTGAAAACTGACGAATAGAGTTAAAGGCAGCAAAGGGAGAGCGAGAGGAATCTTTTTGAAAAAAATATAGAAGAAATGAAGTAAATAAGAAAAGAGGAAGAAGTTACCTTATTAACTTGTGGATGAGGATGGAAACCGCCTCGAAAATCGTGGGAAAAGTAGAAGAGTTTTTTCCCGCTTTAATAATAAATTAAAAGAATCAGATAAGTAAATGCGACAGATTTCAAGATAACTAATGTTTGCAAGTTCCTAAATTCAAGGGACGTGACACACAAAATCACATAGTCAAATATTGTATGGAGCAATCTTCACTATTAAGTAATTAAGTCCTCCGAACTAAAGCAACAGTTCAAAAGACTTGGGTGGCTAATTGTTGATGTCAGATCACGAACTCCAAGTTCGGATCCATCCAAAGATTACCACGTGGATCCAAAGTCAATCAAGCGAGAATCAACAAGATGAGTGCCCGAACCGAAGTCTCCAAATATGGCTAAGCAAACCAAAGAGTCCGGAGGGAATGCCAAAGAGAAATAAGTGCTCAGAGTCAAGTAAATTGGCCGAGCACTCGAAGGCCCATGAAGGGGTCAAAACAATTCTAACAAAGACGTTATGACATTTATTGTAGAATCAAAACAAACATGTTTATGAGCAATTATTATATTAATTAACTAATCAATGTAAATCACTTTGTATTAATATAGGACCCCCATGGCCAAAACGGGGACATTGAATCCTTGCACCAAAGCTAATACTATACTATTTTTTCTCTACACTTTTGTCTACATTTTCATACTATTTTCTATACGTATTTGTGTCTTATATTTTGATCTTGAGATGTTTAGCCCACAAATAAATAAATACTTGAGTGTGTAAATCAGACATCCACAACATATCTGTTAGGATATTAAAAAATCAAGAAATAGAAGATTTGGAGATATTGAAAATATGGAGACTATGTCAGCTACAAGATTTATGGATGCACCTATATATTTTGAATCTAGACTTTAGGTTTAGGTTAGCCGTTCACAGATAAATCACAAGATCAAAAGCAAAAAAGCTTCTTAGGGTTCTTGGTGAGTGAACAGAGAGTGAATCACAGTTATTTTTGTGTCCATGAGAAAGTTTGTAGTTTGATCATCGACGGAGGAAGTTGTACGAATGTGGCGAGTGAGACAATGGTCCGAAAACTTGGGTTGAAGCCGCAAAAGCATCCTAAGCCGTATCAACTACAATGGCTTAACGAAGATGGAGAAATGAGTGTTAAGAACCAAGTGGTTGTTCCATTAGCGATCGGAAGCTACGAGGACCGAATTCTTTGTGATGTACTACCAATGGACGCCGGACATATCCTTTTAGGCCGACCATGGCAATCAGATCGGAGAGTGATTGAAAGACCCCGATCCGGACTGCCTAAGTCCGGAGAGGTTCTCTCCGACCAAATCATTAAGTGATCCGATCCTTAGTCAAATTTTAGGGCCATTTCCTTAAGACAATCCGATTTACGATATTCTGAGATTCATTACTTAGAGTCAATATGCGATAATAGAGTAAACAAAGAATCGGATACTTTATTAGATACTTAAAAGGATTCGATACAACTTATGAGTTTGCATATAAGCTATTACAAGTCATATAATCGATCCTATTCTACCCGATTCATCACCACCCATCTTCCCGGCCTTGAGTCTCTCACGCCTAAGCCAAGTCCTTCCCACGATCACCATCCTTTCCTGAAAGTCAAAGAGGCATAAGTATCCGTTTTACTTATTATATGCAAGTCCATGCAATGCTCTCTAGGCCTTTTAACCACCCGGAACGAAGAACAGATCGGAGAGTGGAAGTATGCGCATCAGTTCGGCCGATTCACGGTAGATCTTCACAGATCCGCCGATCCTCCGCCGAGCCGCATCCCCATTTCAACCGATCCGCCATTCGAACCAAGTTTATGCATGATATGAATGATTCCCCGATACTACAATATCACCCTAATCGTTCCGGACTTCTTCTAAGTCATCGGAACAATCCCTAGGCTAGATCGTACGTATCAAATCTCCTTAGGTTCGGACACAAAGTCTAGAACCGTCTCACCTTCGATCGCACCGATCGTAACTCTCTCTTAAGTGTTTTCTCTCAAGATGTTCTCCGAGAGTTTCTGTATTTTTCCCTAAGTTTTTCCGTGTCTGAAATCGTCCCAAACGCTTTGTATTTATAGAGTTTCGTTCAGAAACCGTTTCTCTAACCGTTCTCTAGAAGGCGCCCATTCGGTCCATAACCGCCCGTTGGTAACCGTCATCCGTAACCGCCCAACCGCTCTTCCGTAACCGCCCAACCGTCCCTCCGTAACCGCTTAACCGTCCAACCGTCGAACAGTTACCCAAGCTTAGCTGAGCTACCCGGCAGCTGGTCGAGCTAGCTGAGCTACTCGACAGTTACCCGAGCTTAGCTAAGCTACCCGGAAGTACTTCGAGCTTAGTTGAGCTATACGGGAGCTGGTTTGGCTACTTAAAGTTCATTATTTCCTTTATCCGAGCTGATGGGCAGCTCCAATCTAGACTTGTCCGAGTTTCTCCTCCTTTTCTCGGACCAAGTCTCATCCGACGATCCTATTGAGGATCGCGGGCGTTACAAGTCTTCCCCCCTTGAATGGGATTCGTCCCCGAATCCGACTCAAGTTGATCTTTACCCATCTCTCTAAACCACTTAGGAAAATCAGCCATCATTTTATTTTCGGTTTCCCAAGTAGTTTCTTCGCGGCCTCCACAATCCCATAACACTTTTATCATGCTTATCTTTTTCCGCCTTGTCCCCTTTTCCATTCGATCAACGATCCGAATTGGATTTGCTTCCACCGTTAAGTTTTCTTTTAACTCCGAAGGAACATCTTCTACTCGCTCCTCGTGTTCACTTAGGCATTTCCTTAGTTGTGAAACGTGGAAAACCTTGTGAAACGCATCTAACTTCGGCGGAAGTTTGAGTTTGTATGCCACAGCCCCTACTCGTTCGATCACCTTGTATGGGCCAACGTACCTTGGACTCAACTTTTTCCTTGTTGAAAATCGTCCTTTACCCTTATACGTTACGGCCTTAAGATACACCAAGTCTCCTACTTGGAATTCCAACTCCTTACGACGCTTATCCGCATAGCTTTTCTGTCGGTCTTGTGCTTCCTTTAGTTTGA